AATCCTCAACCCTTGCCCTTGTTTCATCGAGAAACCACCAAAAACAGTGTATATTGACATTTGAACCACTGTTTGGCTCTGCTTGCTCCCATATTGTGCTCCCAATTACAGTGGTTTAGTGTAGTGAAACTTTTGTTCACTTTTCAAAGGGTAATTAAGCTGAGCATCATAGCTAAATTGCACACGTAATTTTCTTCTATCCCGTTGTAAGACAAATAATTACACCATAAACTTGGTATTTATGTTAGATGAGAAATGAAAAAATTATAAGTTTTTCTACCTGTTATTATTCTCCTTGTATATTTTTATATGGCCTGTTTTAAACTTGGAGATTAAGAGACCATAACTGTTTATGACTTGTTTTGTAATGCCTTCTTAGCGAGAAGCTACTTAAACATTCTAATTTACTGTTGAAAGCTGCACAAAACAACTTTTTTATTACCCGTCACACTTTTTACTACCAGTTAAAAACTAATCTCTGTGCTAAAATACACCACCGTTGAACTACGAAAAAGCTGATCCAACCAAAGAAAGTACATTTTTTTGGGTTGGCGATATATTCCCGATGAATGAAAAATGCGGCAACTTGACTTCGATTTTCATACTTGAACATTGAACAAGCAATTGATCAACGAACCAAAAATTTTACAGAAAAAAAACAAGTACTTCTTACTCATCTAAGTTAATATAAAGTTCTTCATCATGACAAATTGGAGCAAGATCTTTAAAAATGCAAGAAATTTTTCTCTGAGTGCTCAACAATTTTGAAAAATGAGTAGTTGAACTTCAATTAAGCATACATCCAGGGGCGGATCAAGGATTTTCTTGAAGGGGGTCCTATTTTCAAAAAAATTCAAAAAAATTTGCGACCTTTTTTTAGGTGACCAGATGGATTTTCCGAGCACTCCCAGAACACCATAAAGACCCTAGCGCGTTCCCCATCAACATTTGTATATGAGATTTAGGGCCTAACATTTTAAAATAGTATCAAAGGTGGGGTTCGAAACTTTTGGCTGGTGAGGGTGACGAATGCCTAAATCCGCACCTGCATACGTCATTACTTCTTTGAAGATTCATGGAGTGTATGCAATAAATAGAAAAAAGTCTCAACTTTTTTCCTTCACTAAATTTTTGAAATATTAACAAGACTGCTCGCATGCTGGCAAAAACCTGAATGTTCCGACTGCCTTTTAATGTCTATGGAGCAGTAATAACATGAAAAAATTAAATGTAATAGATTAAACTGAAAAAAAATGAGATTTGAAGCTTTTTGTGAGAATTACCCTCCCACGCCATATAAAGTACAAAGTGATAGGTTTCGCTCGTAATAACAAATCAGTTATGACAAATAAGTAAGCTTCCTTCAACTATTTGAGGACTATTTCTAAGACAGATTAAATCTCCGCTGCCACGTTAATAGCGTGAATTATATATCGCGCGTTAATTGTCCCAAATTGGTCCAAATGACCAAAATGGCAATCTTTAAACCCTCATAACTTTACGAAAAAAATCACAGGTAAAATATCTTTTTAAATTTAGGCTCAGACAACAATAATTACTGAATTATATTTTAAGAGTTCCGTCAAAAATGGCTAGTTAAAAAGTCGAAATTTATCTGAAGATAAAAAAATACCCCGAGCACAAATATTCCGTTACTTTTATTGCGAAAGTCGGAACAATCATTTTCCTTTATATCGAAGAGAACAACGAAATATTTTTGCTTCAAGTGATTTTTGCTCCCACTTTCGAAGATAATGAGGGTATATTTGGGCTCGAACCTTTGGGCTCGGTTGGTTTTCAAAATTTTCGTATTGCATGTAAAAAGGTACTGAGCTACCAGCAAAACAATTTTTCTTCAGCTTATTCTTTTTTAAAGTTATTTAGGTTTAAAAATTGAAGTTTGGAATAAATAATGCGTGTTATGCTTCAATACTTTTAAGTCTAAATTAAATTCCATTAGCTTTTTAATAGCTAAATTTGACCGATTTCTTACAAGCAAAAAGATATTGATGTCTTGACCTCCCGCTTATTCAACTTGTGATCTTGTTTTTTAATGAAATTTGAAAATTTTTGATAATTAGGGCGCGCTATCAGAAAATTTTTCTCCTAAAGCGTAGTCGGTGCGGAGATTACGTTTAATGGAGGCTAACTTTTTCATCCAAACATCTTGTGACTAGATATGAAATATATCACGCTGTACTTGATACTTCGTACTGCGTGTGTGAGGGAAAATAGAACAGGAAAAGCGGATAAGTTCCGAAAATTTTCAGCTATTTAGATGAAAACTTGATGGACAAATTGCTTTAAAAAACACTGCTGATATTTCCAAGGTTTTGCCCTGATACGAGTAGTTATGTTTTTCATTCAGACCATTTTCATTGATTGCAAACATATCCTCAAAGAAAAGTTTTTTGTTCCGACTTGTGTAAAAAAACTAACGGAATATTTGTGCTCGCGGTGGTTTGTTTTTCTTTGGACATATTTGGACTTTTTAACTAGCTTGACGGAATTTTTGACGGAAACTTTTTAATATCCTTTATAAGGTATTTTTGTCCGGAGCTTAAAATTAAAAAGATACTTCACCTGTGATTTTTTTTCTAAAGTTTTAGTGATTTAAAGATCGCCATTTTGGCCCATTTGGGACAGTTTACGTGCGATATAATTAGCGCTATTTACGCGTAAGCGGAGATTTAATCCGTCTTAAAAACCGTTCCAAATTGGTTGAAGGAAGCTTATTTGTCATAATTGATACGTTAGTACCGGCAAAACCTACCACTTTGTTTTTTATATGGCAGGTGGAGTGATGATTTTTGCAAATTTATCTCAAATCTCGAAAATTTGTTAGTATTTTTTTACAGCGTTTGATAGATTCACGTTATTACAGCCCCATTGACCTTCCATCAGCTCCATAGACCTTCCAAAGGCAGTCGGAACTTTCAGGGCGTTCGAAACAAGCAGTTTTGTTACACCTCTAAAGGTAGCGATTCCGTTAGCTGAATTTTAAAATAAAGTCTCAGGCAATTGGTTTTCCTATTTTTTTTTTTGAATTTTGCATCAAGATTTCAAGATGTTATTCATGATTCTGAAAATGTAAGTGCAAAATGTTCACGCAAGAAAACTGTTCATCATTTATTCCTTCAAACAATTTATTTAACCAATTTGTAGACACTATTTTGCCAAAAATTTCTGCACCGCAAGCAAATTTTTATTAAAAATTTCAAAATGAATTTTGAAAATTAATATCAAAAACGGGATGTAAGTCAACTTATTATCAATTTATTGAATTTTGACCCCAAAGGCGTCACAAGAAAAAATATGTCTGGCCGACCAAAAATGTGAGGGTAAAATTGAACAGACACAGGTAAGGTACACTTTGGGTGTTCAGGCAGTTTTTTCACCCTATTTAATGTATTTCTAAACTCGTTGGTAATATAAAACTCAAGCGCCGCTTAAACTAAATTTTTGGAAACAAAATTGGAATTATCGTTTTTTCAGATATTTTGTTTTAAAAATAAATTTGTTTTTAGTTTTCCCAGTTTCATAATAAAATAATTTAGAAACAGGGTTTGTCAAGTTGACGGATTTTGTTTTTGAAAATTTTCTATCGTGAAAGTTTTATTTTTTCTAATTAAAGAGTTATACAAGGATGGTTTTTGCTCTAAAAAGTTCAAAAAAACAAAAAAAATGTTTTTGATTTTTTTTCAAAAAGACAAGGCTACAAGCGATTAATTGAAAATGGAAAAATTACTATTTGAAATCTCGGCTCTTTGCATGATAAACTTTTGGTTAATTCAATCAGTTTTTTGTTTTTTTTTTCTAATTTTTACTTCTTTCCACTATTCGACAAAATTTTCAATCTAAGCAGCATCCCACGCTTCAAGTTTGTCAAAAATTTGTCGGTTGAAAATTTTCGCTTGCGAAACTAAAAACAAAAAATAACGTTTTATGTACCTTTAAGCCTATTGTTTTTGCACTAAAAAGTTCACAAAACAAAAAAAAATGTTTTTGACTTTTTTTTCTTCAAAAAGACAAGGCTACAGCGATTAATTGAAAATGGAAAAAATAATATTTGAAATCTCGGCTCTTTGCATGATAAACCTTTGGTTAATTCAATCAGTTTTTTGTTTTTTTTTCTCATTTTTACTTCTTTCCACTATTCAACAAAAATTTTCAATCAAAGCAGCATCCCACGCTTCAAGTTTGTCAAAAATTTGTCGGCTGAAAATTTTCGCTTGCGAAGCTAAAAACGAAAAATGAAGTTTTATGTGCCTTTCAGCCTATTGTCAAAATAGATTACTTTTTATGGTAAACAATGTTCAGGAAGCAACAACAAAAAAAAACAAATACCTCGGATCAGCTGATGAGCTAATTGGGCTTAATTTGGGCTGTAGTTACCCAATTTTTTCTACATGTTTGAAAGCAACTTTCTAAAATCAAAACACTCTTTGCCTTTGACATATGAACTTACAAACCTTTTTCTTGTCAATACACAAAAAGAGCAAAAAGCAACGACATCAAAGGAAATAGGAAGTCAATTTCTAATTTAAAATTCCAATCTCGTCTGCATTTTGTTAGGGATGGTTGTTTATCTGTTGAAATAGGATGTTAAGCACATTAAACTGACAAATTTGTAAGTTCAGGTTTGCTATTTTCGCTAACTTTCATGCAGATCAGGCTTGAGGCGTAAACATTTTCAGATTAAATTTCATTTACGAAAAAAATGTTAATTGTTTGCTGATTTTTCAGCAAAAGTCAAGAATTAAATAAACTGAGTCAAAAAATTTCTATAGAGCTGAACGTTTTGTGTTTTAAGAAAAACTTCCTTAATTTCATGGATGGGTTTTGGCGGTTTTACTTATAATGTCAGCCGAAAATGAATGTCACAGCCCATTGAATGTATGTTAAACTCACAGGTGAGCGACTGTGAAAGGGCTTAAAGGCCTTGCTCCGCCTTTAAAAGGGGTGATTAAATGATTTATCCTTGAACTGTTTGTTTGTAGGCCGAAGGGAGATGAAGCCTCTCTGATAAACAATGACGAGCTAGAGTATGGGGAGCAGATCAATCCGGGTGATAACAGTGGCGACAACTTCGGAGGAGGAGGCTCACTGCCAAAAAACTTCCAGATGCCAGTGCTAGACACAGTATTTGGGAAACTTGAGGTTACTAAACGTTTTTTTAGCCCAGGAGTCCTGTCTCTAACACAGACAGTGCTTAAGGGCATCAATAGTTGGGCTGATTTTTCCAAAAAAAATGTCTTAATATGCGAGTATGAGTGTGTCAGTGTGTTAGCGTACAGTGCTGATTTAAATTAACCGGACAAAACGCGTTAAACTTGAAATTTAAAACCCCGCAATTGGGTTGAGTTTAGGTGAAAACTTATGAAGACAAAACTTGCTTAAATTTTTAGCAGAATTAATATGGTGTAATTTGTTTTGCGAAACTCGGGCCCAAAATTTTACCCCAACAATGGGTCATTTTGGCTTTTTTTAGTTAATCAAAAATTACGCCGAAAATACCCAGTCAATCACAGACATAATTATATTAAAGTGAGCCCCTTACGTAGCCCAACAAACTTTAAGAAGGGTATAACCTCCAAAAAAAATGCAAATTGTTCAAAAATTGTTTTTAAATCAAAAGTGGGTATTTTATATAGTAAAAACTACCTTTTTTGTCTATCACACAAAAATAAATTAAGTTATACAATATTTTGGAGGTTATGCCCTTCTTAAAGTTTGTTGGGCTACGTAAGGGGCTCTCTTTAAAATAATTATGTCTGTGATTGACTGGGTATTTTCGGCGTAATTTTTGATTAACTAAGAAAAGCCAAAATGACCCATTGTTGGGGTAAAATTTTGGGCCCGAATTTCGCAAAACAAATTACACCATATTAATTCTGTTAAAATTTTAAACAAGTTTTGTCTTCGTAAGTTTTCACCTAAACTCAACCCAATTTGAGAAAAACGGGTTTTAAATTTCAAGTTTAACGCGTTTTGTCCGGTTAATTTAAATCAGCACTGTACGTTGGTCTGACTGTTACCAAACTTCTGAGTAAATGCTCGTGCGACCTCGAAATTATACATGTACAAGCACATGATGACGAGGAGTTTCTTTGCTAAAATTTTACTGAATTTGGTTGATTAATTGGTAGAAAATGACAAAAAGGGGCAAACAGATCGAACACAACATTTTCAACTTTTCTTTGCCGACGTTGGAAATTCAGAACAGCTTCTTAAACTAGAGAAACTTTAACAGATGAGCCAACTCGACAAACAATTGTTTCTGTTCAAAGAGATATAATCAGAGAACTTTCAACAGAGTCAAGAAGGGAAAGAGGCCGAAAATGCTGGAACTGAAAACTTTAAATGATTTTAAACTAGCAGAATTGCTAAAGAAAACTCACCGGGGCAAACGTTTCCTTCTTTTCGACTCTCTTCTATATGATACTTAACAAGTTATGGTTTTCACTACTCTTCGACGACTGGATTTTCTTAGTGGCGCTGATCATTGGTTTTGCAATGGCACTTTATCAATGGCCCTAACGTTTTCCTCAAGATATACGTATAACACGCATCAAAGGAAGGAATTTTGGTCCCTATTGTGTATGCATTGCTTCAAGACAAGAAAGAGACTAAATTTGACTTTTAACTGTTACGAAATAGAGTTTCCCAAATGAGCAACAATTGAATTTGAAATAGGGGTCAAAAAGGCTATTATTTCCCAATCCGAAATCATAAAAATCAACTATTGCTACTTCCTTTTGTGCCAAAGCGACTGGCGTCATGCTCAATCTACTGAAAATACAAACAACAGGCTTCATCTAGATTTTCGTGAGCATGTCCGAATGCGACTGAGTACCGCTTTCATGCCAGTGAGTGCCGTTCCCTCTGCATTCGATACACCCCAGAAGACATGCCCCGTAACAGCTCAGCCGATCCTCAACTATTTTGAAGATAGTTACATTGGTCAGCTCTCTGCGGCAAATGGAGATCGACAAAAACCCAAATTTGGAGTTGACATTTGGATTTGCCCATACACGTGTCACAACGGGGCGTTCGAGGACCATCAATGCTAATGAGGATTGGAATAACAACCTCGTCAAATTTTTCAAAGCAAAACACATATCGTTTCAAAGATCATCGAAAAATTCCAAGATAAGCAGAGATCCTGATAGAAAAAAATCTGAGTCGCGATTAAAAAAAACTCTCCGAGTGAGTTACAACCTATAATCCAAGTAACAATACTATTTTCCTGAAGGGGTGCAGCAGCAATTATAATTTATGGCTAAGATTTAGTTTATTATCCACTTCCCTAACGTTTATGTGGCAAAACAATAAGTTTCAATAATTTTTTCAAGTTGAATTTTTGAAAAAAAAAAGAACTAGACGTATTTTGAGAACGGTAAGATCATCAATGTAAATGTTTTTTTTTTTCATCAACTTTCCTAGTGACCAAACCTAGTAAATCCATATCAATTTTGCCCTCCTTTACCAGATTTTGGGCGTTTCCTTTTGGAATCTCAACTACACTGAAAAGTTTTTTCCGACCCGAGATTTCAGCTGTCGAACAATCGCTCTTCAAACCAATGACACCATCGCTCAAACGAGCGTGCTTTGAAGTTTCACTTTAAAGTTTTCTGTATTTCGGTTTCGCTTCGACTTTTCTTTAATTGTGTGATACAATTAGAATCTAAATATAAAACCATCAAACGGACGCAAAACTTCATAGCATCAAAGATTACAAGGTCAAATCAAAAAATATTTTCGGAATTTTTTAACTGCGGTTTAAATGGGACAATTTTAAATATTGGTACATTTTTTTCAGGGAAACAAGTGTCTTGAACACAAGTGTCTATGCACCGTATCAGCAACTAGACATCACTATCTGTTTTGGTTTTGAATCATTTTTTTAATGAGCTCATATACAACAGTAATATCCGTTGAAAAAGTTTTTCTGATTCAAATTAATTCTTTAAGCAAAAAATAACCTGAATGAAAAACAAGTTCGATTTTAACATTGTTCTAGTTTTACTCTCAACATTTTATTTAAAAATAATACGTTTTCAGATTGTTGCCTTCCATTTTTTTCTCTCAAAAAGCACTCAATGATAAAATAAAAATCCAATGAAGGGAAATTTCTTCTGATAACTCAGTTGGATGTCGGGAAAAAATTTGAGAACCCACAGTGAAAAAACGTAAAAAAACGGCATTTGATTCTCTGCCGAGAACATAATATGTTTTTTTTTTTAATTTTTTATCCACGCAAAAGCCTGACTAAATCGAAGTTATTTCTTTGCTACAAAATCCAGTCACGATCCTTCAAATAAACTTTCAAATATTTACCTTGGATTAAAATTTTTTTAACAGCGTCGTCAGCAGAAAAGCTTGAAAAAACCGAAAGCTTCCAACATTGCTCAAATTTTGTCCATTTTTTGTTCCGACCATTTGAAAAAAGTAGAGGATTTTTGTAATTGGGTGTTTATTTCTCTTCTTGTTTTCCACCCAAAATCAGGTACTACAATTAATCATCGTTTTATTTGAAGTTTTCGTGTTTTGGTCTAAATTCGGGCTAATAAGGTGAGTGTGCAGGCTTATAATAGCTTCTTCACGATGAAGTTGAGCCGTGAAATTTTAGTTTTAATCGATTAAATAAAGTTTTTGAAGTTTTTAGCGTCATCTTGGGAATCAGAAACTTTTGAAAGTTTTGAAATTCTTTTACGATTATTTTGTTTTTGTTTTTTGCAGCAAAAACTGTTTTTGAATTGGCCTATTTGACTATGACTGTTGAAAATATCTAGTTTTTATGTTTTCCACTAGAAGTTTTGTCACACCACACAGAAAAAACTACACTAATTTGAAAAATAATTTTTGTATTTTTAAGGCTATGCTTGAAACATTCTGCGCTTTTTGCCTAGTAACCGGTAAAACTTGTGTTAATTTGATTAAGCACAGTTCTTGCTCATTCCGTTCAAAAAAAAAGAGAAAAAAGTTAACAAGTATTATGTTTTTCTGCGGATAATGATTAATTTTTAATTTAACCTAGGCTGTTTTTTAGATATTTTTCAGGGAACTGATGAATAGCGTTTTTTCTTAAATTGCATATATGCAAATATATAAGATAAGCTGAGTTTCGGCTGCTCAAATTTTCTTTATACGAATCATCCTTTGCTTGAAGTTTACGGCTCTTATCAATTGTTTCCCTTTTTTTAATCAATATGTAGAATGAAAGTTATCTAAGAATTATAGTTCTCAACATTCCAGTTCATGTCTTCATGTTGAATAGTTTTTAATATTAATACAATTATGGCACATGTAAAGTTTCCACAAAATTGTATATTTAAGCTGTTGATATGAAAGTCCAATTTTTTGTTGTTTTATGATTAACAGAAACATCATTTTTTCTCCATCAATGGTGATCTTGGCACCGTTTAGCTGTTTCATTATTCTGATACGTCACAAATTACCAATGAGATTATAACAAAAACAAATTTTCATAGACTGTCTCGGGGAAAAAAATAAACTCGAACACTCTTTCATGTTATTTTCTCGAGTAGAAAAATTTTAACACTAAATTGTATTAAATAGAAAAAAAAATGAAAATTAAAAATATCTTACAAAAGAGTTTTAAAAAGTTCCTAATATTCCAGGTGATCACGACGCCCTTTAGCATGTTGAACGAGAGGATATCGCGTGTAGTGAAGGTGCCGCACTACCTGTCTGACAAAGTGAGGTATGTGATAGCTTGTCTGCTCTCCATGGGCTTCGCCATCTCCTTCGGATTGAGGTGCAATCTGGGAGTGGCCATTGTTGATGTGACCAACAACTCAACTGTCACAGAACACGGAAAGGAATACGAAAAGGTGAGTTGGGGACCGCCTACTAGCATGCGTGCCGCTTAGCATGCCACTACTAGAGTTGACTTTGTTTTCTCACATTTGCAGCATGTGCCGCATCGAAGTGAGTTATTATTTTAATTGCGAATGCTAAGCGGCACGCATGCAAGTCGCTGCAGCCCATGTAAGTTTTTGGTTTTTGGAGTGCGGTCTTTATTTAGACAACCGCGTATTCATACTAGTCAGTAAGCAGAAAATCATTATATTAACCAATCAGAATCAAGATAAGAAAGCAAACTTACGAAACAAATAATTTTGCAGTCAACTCAAAGTATTGTACTTTTTATTTCGACCGGTAGAACGCTGTTTCGACTTACTATTTTTAGCAAAATTAAATCGGTCACTATTGTGAGGTAACATGAAAGCTTCTCGGTGTTTATGATGTACCTGAAATCATTGAGAGCATATATATTTTTTTTAAAAAAAAACGAAAATTTTAAAAACTTCATAGGTTTATCAAATTTTGCCAGTACCAAAAACATCTGAGACAAGGTCAAAAGGCAATCAGTGCTTTCTTTGCTTTCGGTAGTTATTATTTTTTTAATGCAATCAGGGGCGGATTTAGTGTGGGGGATTCGACTACGTGCCGACCCTAAGCACCTTTGTACTGTTTTGAGATATCAATTTTTGGCTGACGGACCCTAAAGTTTTTCTAAAGGCGCCAATATATAATAATTTTGAAGGGTGAGCGATTTCTTAGTCAAAATTTTCAAAAAAGGGCCTAAAAACGCTTTTTTTGGCCTGTTGTCAAAACTGCGCCTGCCGCGCAGAAAGTTTTTCCAAAACAGGGTGTTTTTAGTGCTTTGAGAGAGCTCGGAAAAAAGTTTGATCGACCTAAAAAAAAAGACCAATATATCGAATTTTTTTTGAAAATCCGCAATTGATGTTCAAACTGTACCACTGATATCATGAGGAGTGGGGATAGGGTGAAAAAGCACGCATTTATGAAGTATGATGCTTTTTGTTCCGATCATTAAAACTTTGTATTCGGGTGTGTTTTAGTTTTCGTTTCTTTTTGTTTTCCACCCAAAATCCGGTACCACAAATAATGATCGGACTGGCTTGTGTGATATGTCATATTAAAGCCCATACAGTCGTGAATCAAACTTCCTTTGAAAAATTTTGAAAAAACTTTCCCAGTGTCGAGAAAAACCGGTTGAAATTTTTGGTTTTTTGTCCTATTCCGAGTGAATAAAGCGAGCGAGCAATCTTATTATTGGTTAAAAGCTTACAATAGCTTAATTTAAAACATACAGACTTAGTTTTACTTTGTTAACGTTAGTTTACTGTGAGTATTTTAACGCCTTTTTGGAACCAAAAATTTCCAAAAAAAACTGCAAAAAATAACTTGAAAAATTTGTCGAATTTTTTTTTTCGTTTTTCTAGTATTTTTTCTTTTTTCTTCAATTACGTTTTGCTGGACCAAATTATAATGCTCCTTTTTTAACGCTTCAGGGAGGAGGATGTTAACTTGGTCCAATACAACAAGGTTTTCGAAGGAAGAGGCGTATTTGCCTTAGTCTTTAATTAAAACTGCTAGTAATAAGGAATGTTCTTGAATATTTAGACTGCCTTTTGACCTCTATGAAGCAGTTTTTGGAGCCTATGAAACATACATATATTTTTTAAAAGAATAAAACTCTAGATTTTCTTGAATTCTAGTTTATTTTGAATTTTTGTAAGTTTGTTTAATATTACTTTCCACATACGCGCTATTTAAAGTAATGAATGTTTTTTTTTGCCTCTAGTTACCTATCAATTAAACAAAATAGCTAGCTTCAATGAGCTTGGAATGGTTTCTGAGTTTGTTTATTTTGCCGCTTGTGCTTTGAAGAACAAAAAATTGCCTTTTTTAAATTCATTTTCACAAAAAAAGAATATCTTTTAATTTTGAACATCTTGATCATCGAGTCATAGATAATCAAAACTTTTTATACGTTATAAAAATTGTCAAAGTTATCTAGATCTGTCTGAGAAAATTTTGACAGACGTTATTAAATACCGTCAATTTTTTTCTGGAGAAAAAACCGCACCAAGTACAACTATTACGTCACTTTCTTCAAAATTTGAGGCAATATTTGAAACTACTCTCTCAAATAAACATAGTGAAGGCCCATATAGTGTACGTCACCTATCGTGCAAGTTTTCAACTGACCATAACTCGAAACTCTGGCTGAGTTCAAATTTTTGCGCGGCAATCAGTGTACAGTTCAAGCAATTACCGGGCTGTGTTCTTACTGATCTCTGTTTCTGTGTTTAGGATATCAGAACTTCGGTTTCGAATTTTTGTTCCACTAATTTTTGTTGCAATGAGTATAATCATCAAACTGTTTAAACGATATACTAAAATAAGACTGATCGTATCAGGGCGAAGCCCTGAAGGTTCTGACTGCCCTTGAAAGTCTATGGAGCAGTAAAGTTTGTGTTAAGAAAAAACCCACCCCAAGCACAAATATTCCGTTTCTTTCGTTAGGAAAGTCGGAGCAAAAATAAACATAATGAGACGTATACTAAGAAGGTTCCGACTGCCTTTGAAAGTCTATGGAGCAGTAAAAACATGAAAAAATCAATGGTAAGAAAATAAAACGAGTTTTTTTTCAAATTTGAGATTTTTTGTGAAAACTATGCCCCCCACACGCCATATAAAATTCAAAGTGATAGAATTCGCTCCTAAACGCATCCAGTTTCAAGCGGTAATGATCGATTATATTACGATTTTAGTACCAGTCTTACTAAAATTGAGAAACAACCGATTTTAATCAATTAAAAATCGATTATAATCTCTCTTTTTAAAATCAAATTATAATTATCTATAATCCATTATAATTGATTATAATCCATTATATTCATTCAAATTTCTAGTTCACATTGCGCCTTGATTTTCCCAAATTGGCCGAAATGGCATTCATTAACTTTACAAAAAATGGTTACAGGTGGAATTTTTTTTTCAACTTTACAAAAAGTGATTACAGGTGGATTTTTTTTTTCAAATTTAAGCTACAGACAACAATACTTTTTGAATGATATAAAAGTAATTCGTCAAAAATGGCTTGTTAAAAAGTCGAAGTTTGTGTTAAGAAAAAACCCACCCCAAGCACAAATATTCCGTTACTTTCGTTAGGAAAAGTCGGAGCAAAAATAAACATAATGAGACGTATACTAAGAAGGTTCCGACTGCCCTTGAAAGTCTATGGAGCAGTAAAAACATGAAAAAATCAATGGTAACAAAATAAAACGAGTTTTTTTTTCAAATTTGAGATTTTTTGTGAAAACCATGTCCCCCATACGCCATATAAATTCAAAGTGATAGATTTCGCTCCTACCCGCATCCAGTTTCAAGCGTTAATGATCGATTATATTACGATTTTAGTACCAGTTTTACTAAAATTGAGAAACAATTGATTTTAATCAATTAATAATCGATTATAATCTCTCTTTTTAAAATCAAATTATAATTAACTATAATCCATTATAATTGATTATAATCCATTACATTTATTCAAATTTCTAGTTCATTAGTTTTGCACAAAAATCCATTATAATTGATTATAAATGATGATTATAATCCCTTTTGTTTGTCCATTTTGTCTTTGAAGTTGCATCTAAAATGCTTATATTTTATGCTTTTTGTAGACGTTGGGTCCTATGAAAAATGATAAAAATATTTTTAAATTTTTCCAATTAATTCAATTTTTTTTTTCATTTCATCCCCATTAAAGTTGTCTTGTGATGCATATTTTGAGCTTTTTTAAACACCAAAACATCAAGGAATTGATTTAGTTCCATTAGTGATTCGGAAAAACTGTTTTTCATCTACCGCGGGAACCTTTCCACTCAAATGAAATGATCTCTATGAAACTTTTGTTTCGTGGTAAAACTTTGTGTTCAAGAGTTCAAGAGATCTCTCTTTTAGAGGTTTCCTGATTGATACAAAATAATAGACCATAAGATATGATTCGAATATAGTTTTGAATTGACAAAATTTCGGCAAACTAAGAGATCAATTATGACAAATAAACTTCTTTCAATCATTTTGGAACGATTTCTAGGACGGATTAAATCTCCGTTTACGCTTTAATAGCGTGAAATATATATCGCGCCTTGATTTTCCCAAATTGGCCGAAATGGCATTCATTAACTTTACAAAAAATGATTACAGGTGGAATTTCGTTTTCAACTTTACAAAAAGTGATTACAGATGGATTTTTTTTTTTCAAATTTAAGCTACAGACAACAATACCTTTTGAATGATATAAAACTAATTCGTCAAAAACGGCTTGTTAAAAAGTCGAAGTTTGTGTTAAGAAAAAAACCCAATATTACGTTACTTTCGTTAGGAAATTTGGAGCAAAAATAAACATAATGAGACGTATACTAAATAAGAAGTCATCCTAACATATAGCTTTTTCAAAATTATTTATCGTATAAAAACATGATGCTACGGTTTGTGCAAAAAATGTTTGCCAAGTAGTGCTAAAACATTTACCAAAACTTATTACTACAACATCGTTTGCATAACCGTAACCTCTTAAATACATGGAAATTAATTTTTGAAGCACTGGAAAAAGTTTTCTGATTTAATTCTGTTTGGACTGAAACTGTATCAATATGAGTAAAATGATCTTTAACTAATTCTTTTTGATTACTCACCGGAAGACTTCATTACCCGCTTCACTTTTCATATATGCTTACTCACCGAATTACTTCTTAAAACGATGAACTGTGATTTTTGCCAGATAACATATGAGTAGCCAAAAAAAACTGTTAAAAGTGTTCGTCGTTAACTGAAAACAAATCCCAACACATCTTGTATAAAAAATAGCCGTTTTTATGTGTCAACTTCACAAAACTACAATTTATGTTTTTTTCCTGTCATTTGAACCTTTTAATCATCTCCATTTTCTGACGTCCTTTGAAATATAATATTAGCAAGTCAAACTACTCGTCAACCAGATAAAATTACACTA